TCTCTCTCTCTCTCTCTCTCTCTCTCTCTCTCTCTCTCTCTTGTCTGTCTGAATTATTAAAAAACAAATTATAATCAATTGCATTTCATGTTGATAATAAAATTTTTGTTTATGTAGTAAATTATTATTTGTATTACATAAATATCATATCTTAAGAATAAATTCTTTTAGGATTATTCATTCAGTAAATTATTCATTTGATAATTATTTGCGTATATTTGTATGAATAATAATTTTATAAACAAAATATGCTGCTGGTGAATTATAGAAAAACTAGACTATATTTTTGTAAAAACATGCAATAATTTGTGTTATTGCATTATATAAATCATTGTCTAGTATCATAGTATAAACAAACAAAATTGTCTTGTATATAAACCAATTGGTGAAATATAAATTTTCATATTATTTTTAAAAATTCCAACACCACTATAAATAAATTAAATTTTGTTAATTAATTATTACAAGTTAATAATTTGTAATTACTCTGTTTAGTGAGTGATGTTACCACAATTAAAAATCTAACAACATACCATAATAGTATGTTTTACTTTCTATTATTAGATCATGGTCAGAACAATGAGCCAGGGTGGTTTGCAATTCCTAAAGGACGCCGAGGGTTTTGAAGCCGACTATTATCCAGATCAAATTGTATGTTGCTATCATGATGATGTCTTAATTTATTTATAAAAATAGCAATTATAAAAACAATACGTTAATATATCAACTAATAAATGATAATCTATCAGGGTCAAGAGACTATTGGCTATGGACACTGTACCAAGTGGCGTGGACGTATCCGTTTTGCGCCACCCATCACTCACCAGCAAGGTGAAATCATATTGAAAGAAGACCTGGTTGAGTTTGAACAGTGTGTTAATCGGGAAGCGCCCAATTTGAATCAAAATCAGTTTGATGCCGTAAGTAGCTCTCTCTCTCTCTCTCTCTCTCTCTCTCTAATCATAAATAGTTTGTACAAAATAAACACTGATCATAATTAATAATAGAAAATAATTACGT